AGAGTAGGAAGCAGCTGGATTTGGAAGGAGAACGGAGATAGTTAGGATGGAGTGGGACAGCGGAGTTGATAAAGAGCAGCCGAGCTAGAGAGAGGGAAAGAGCGGAGAGGAGAGCCGACGGAGGAGAAGAGGGGAGCGAGCGAGGCCAGCGCAGGGAGCGAGCGAGGCCAGCGCAGCGAGCGAGCGCAGGAACATTGAGCGGTGTTGACGGGAGCGATGTGGAACTATATACGTGAATAAAGAAACGAGGAAAGACAAGACGCTGTCGTGTCGGTATGAGCGCTACAGTAGTGTGTAGTGGTGCAGTGTATAGAATAGTGTTAATAGTGCAGTGTATTGTTAAGTATTTAGCGTCATGTATAATAGTGGGAAATACACCAACCTCCCCATCTCCGGATGCCAAGGCAGCGCCACGCAGCGTGGCCTTGACCGTGGGCGGGGCACGAGTTCGCCTGTCAATGCAAGCCAGTTGGCGTGGAGAGAGAGGGTGAGTAGACGGAGCTGTGCGTGATTAGTGGAGAGTGAGAGGGTGAGTCGACGGGGCTGTGCGTGATTGGTGGAGAGTGAGAGGGTGAGTAGACGGGGCTGTGCGTGATTGGTGGAGAGTGAGAGGGTGAGTAGACGGGGTTGTGCGTGATTGGTGGAGAGAGAGAGGCTGAGTCGACGGGGCTGTGCGTGATTGGTGGAGAGTGAGAGGGTGAGTCGACGGGGCTGTGCGTGATTGGTGGAGAGTGAGAGGGTGAGTAGACGGGGCTGTGCGTGATTGGTGGAGAGTGAGAGGGTGAGTCGACGGGGCTGTGCGTGATTGGTGGAAAGTGAGAGGGTGAGTAGACGGGGCTGTGCGTGATTGGTGGAAAGTGAGAGGTTAGTAGACGGGGTTGTGCGTGATTGGTGGAGAGTGAGAGGTTAGTAGACGGGGCTGTGCGTGATTGGTGGAGAGTGAGGTCCACAACAAGTCAGTGCCTCCTGTGACGATGTTCCGGGAATCCCATTGGGGGCGCTGTACGAGCCAAGTTGGTTTGCAGAGGCTGCAAGGGCAGGGCCAAATTTGCATATTTAATTGAGCTATACCCATGTATAGTAGTGTAATGTATAGTGTATACTGTATAGTAGTGTAATGTGTAGTGTAGTATAGTGTTTAGTAGTGTAGTGTATAGTGTAGTGTATAGTAGTGTAGTGTATAGTAGTGTATCGTATAGTAGTGTATCGTGTAGTGTATAGTAGTGTGGTGTATAGTAGTGTAGTGTGTAGTAGTGTAGTGTGTAGTGTATAGTAGTGTAGTGTATAGTCGTGTAGTGTAAAACTCCTCTTAATCATCACCTCTGTTAATGACTAATCGCTTAACGACGGGACTCCAAAAAGCCCAATGTGTTCGTGTATGGACCATTTCCCTGTTGAAGACGGGCTGCTGTAGGTAATGATTTATAATGTTGTTAGTATCTCCATGTATTAATATCCATTGTTTAAATACTATAAAGCAGCGGCCCCCAACCTTCTTGGCACCAAGGGCCGGTTTCGTAGAAGACAATTTTTTCACGAACCAGGGGAGAGATGGAGGGGTTCATCATTGGGGCTTTCCCGCTTTTGAATGAAGCTCTCCAGCGAAGTTTGTTTTTTACTCATTTTGGATAGGGGTCTGCTTGTGGGCTTACCAACACTGTGACTGAGACAAGTGCGCAGTACGGGAAAAAGGCGCGGATGGAAGTGGTAAATATTAAAACAATGGGGGCGGGCCAAGCGCAGCCTCACCGCTCTCACCTCCTGCTGTGCGGCCCGGTTCCTAACAGGCAACGGACCGGTCGTGTACAAGTGGTGTCCGCGGCCCGGGAGTTGGGGACCCCTGCTATAAAGTACGTTTTAGGGTGAAAAAGGGTAACTTTCGATGCTATCGGAACGAGTTCAGCCTTTCACGTGAATTTCCTTTACTCGCTTAACGACCAAATAACTTATCGACTGGTTTCGTGGTTCCAATTACCGTCGTTAAGAGGGGTTCTACTAAACTACTACGACGACCCTGCACTACTATACACTGCACTATACAGTACACCATAAACTACACTATACACTATGATATACACTGCACTACTATACACTAGACACTACTATACAATACACCATTAAACACTACGCTACTATACACTACACTAATATACACTACACTACTATACAATATTATCCACGACACTAGTATACACCTCGCTACTATACACGTCACTATACACACACTAAACTATTATACACTATGTGACACTACTATACACCACCAAGCCATTAACGTGCATTTCATATACACGCTTAACGACCAAATCACTTAACGACCGGTTTCGTGGGACCAATTAACATCGTTAGGAGGAGGGGTTCTTCTGCACGAGGGGCTGGGGTGGTCGTCGTTCACCGGGGCCGGCTTGCGGGGGGGTGGGGGGCTCCTGCAGGGGAGCGGCTGCTGCGGTGTGGGCGAGTCGGTGCCCGGTGCTGCTGGTGCGTGGAGCAGCTGTGTGCTAAGCTGCCGTGCGGGCGTGGCTGCTGCTGAGCAGGGTCACTCAGAGCGCTGTTGAGAGCAACCAACCAAGTCACGAGGCTGCGGCTGCGTGGATCCATTAAAGGGCGCCGTTGTGAGTGCGAGCCAAGGTTGAGGTTGATGCTGCGTTGAATCCTGGGAGTGCTGCACCACCGTTGGATCCTGGGGGGGATCCCCGAGTCTGCACGCGACCTCGAGAGTGAATTTATGCACCAAACTGAGCTTCTGCCACGTTGCCTCGTCACCCGGGAGTGGAGCACGCGTCAGGGTTGTGGTGCGAATGGTCGCCACGCTGTGGGGTCGCCGTGTTAAGCCGGTTGACTAACGGGGTTACGTAAACGTGCGCTGTTACTGTTGCCGAAAGTTTTGAAGAATTGGTTGCATTTGGCTATTTCGGTAAATAATCAAAGAGTGTGGATTCCTACAGTCACGAAAGCTTCAAATCAAGGTTGCACTTGGTTGTCAAGAAATGATTATCCACCACAGTTGGTTCGTGTTCTTGAGCAAATTGTTTCAATTGTGCATGACGAATCGAGGCATAGTCAATTCCAAATCTTGTTAAGGGGCCGTCCATGAATGACCTCACGCACCTAGGGGGGGGGGTCGGGGGGTCAGACATTTGTGACGATGTGTGACGAGGGGGGGGGGGGTTGAGAAATGTGATGTCACGTAAAAATGCGCAACTTTAAATAAATATAGACAACACGTTCTACTTAATTAAATAGGCTTTTTAATACATGTTTACCTCTACAACATCAAAATGCAGCGCCACATTAAATACGCACTACAATGACAATAGTTTAAAGCGATTTGAAGCATGTTTTATTTTCAAAATAGAAATATGGTGTTGTGGGGGGGGGAGCAGAGCTTTGTGACGTCATATTTGAAGGGAGGTCTGACTTTTTGTGACGCCGTGTGACGAAGGGGTGGGGGTCAAAAATCGCGTGACGTCATTTGTATTCCTAATCCAAAAAAATTCCTTTATGTCGCCATTAAAGTAACGTTGAACAATCCGCGCTGCTGCCCTCTAACACATTTTTCGTGGGAATTGCACGGCAAGGAAAATGGATCCTAACTCCTTTCTCTCTCTCCCACGTATATAAAAAAGAGCGACCCTCATAATTTGCATGGCTGCAATAGCGATTCTGGTCGCATTTTGTAGCTGCTCACCCCGGACTATAAATGCCCTGTCTCTGGTGTAGGCCAATCCGACAATGCATCATATATTAACAGAGCCATGTTTGTTTGCATGCTCACCCAGAAGTATAAATGCTTTGATCCGTGCATTGTCTTTGGACTGTTCGCCTTTAGGCGTTGTTCTCTGGTCTACTAACACTAGTGGTGAGACAAGGCCATAAAGAAGGCTGCTGTCTCTGGTGTAGACATATCAGTTTAAGATACAATGCCTATAAATTTTCAGAGCATGTTTGTTTGCATATTCACCACAATCACTGTGTGGTTAATGCAGACATTATTCCTTGCTAAAGTTTCTGTTTGGTGTTTTAACATCTTAACAAACTCCTGTTTCATTGGCAGAAAGGGTAAAACGTATTCTTATATTTTAATACTAGAAAGGGAGGTCCTATGAGGTGCTAATAAGTTGAAACACAAAATTGATGCCTGTTGCAAGGAATAAAGTCTGCATTAACCACAACTTATTTGGTGTTTGAACATCCGAACACAACTCCTGTTTTATTGCCAGAAAGGGTAAAACCTATAATTATTTTATCAAAATTGATACCGGCAAAAAAGGTCTAATTTTGTATTTTTTTCACGCGCTGATGTTGATGTGTTACAGCCGCACTACCCCTGGGGCGCCTGCCCCCCGCCCACATGAGCTTGTAACGGTGCCGGGTTTAGCAAAGGGCCTCGCCCGGTGGTTTGTGGCTCCACAAATTGGACCCTGAGCCACAGCCCCGTGACCGAGTTAAACACGGCAACTCCCACCGGTGCCTCACAGCTCTACAAGTGGAACGCGACTTTGAGACAGGTACAAATAATTTTCATGAAGTAGTTTAAAGTGTTAAACTTAAAACTAGACAAACAGACTGAAAGACGAAGATAACAACAATCTCGTGGAGTTTAGCGGCAGGGAGCAACGAATTTACTAGCAGCGTTCCCCTGCCAGTTCAGTTGAGACGAGCTGAGGTGAGTTGGGGTGAGTTGAGGTAACTTGAGGTGAGGTGAGATGAGGTGCCGTGAATTGTGATGAGTGGAGTTCAGTTGTGATGAGCTGTGGTGAGGTGAGGTGAGTTGTGATGAGGTGAGTAGAGGTCAGGATGCCGATTTGAGTCGAGGTGATCCGAGTCTTATTATTTAAGCCACCTCTGGAGTGAAGACGTCTGCACTCTCTCACACGTCAACACATTACAGGGCACGTCTCGTGATATGCAAATCAAACTGAATGACTTCCTACTTGTCACCTATTAACGTGGCTTGTTCCTTGTTTAGCGTCTCAGACACAGCCAGCGACTGCCTGAAATACAGACAGAGACTGCCTGAGCTACAGCCAGCGACTGCCTGAACTACATTTAGCAACTGCCTGAGCAACAGTCAAATACTGCCTGATCTACAGACAGTGACTGCCTGAGCTCCATCAAGCGCCCGTCTCTGGGTGAAGCCACGGGGCCATGGCGAGTGCAGCTCCCAGTGATAGCGAGGCTCCAGGGGAGTTGACCTGCCCCATCTGCCTGGACGCCTTCCGCTGCCCCTGCACGCTCAGCTGCGGCCACTCGTTCTGCCTCGAGTGCGTGGAGGGCGCCTGGGATGTGGCCAAGTCCTTCTCCTGCCCACAGTGCCGAGTGACCTTCCCTCGGAGGCCCAAGTTGAACAAAAGCGTGACGCTCACCAACCTCATCGAGCAGCTGCTAGTGGCTGAGCCCATGGCTGCCGATGCTGCTGCTTCTGCTGTTTGCTGCGATCATTGCAGGAAGCCCGCAGTGAAGACTTGCCTCAAGTGTGATACGTCGTTCTGTATGACCCACGTCGCGCCGCACCAGAAGTTGGCAAAGTTTAGTGACCACGTCCTCGTGTCGCCCGGTGTGAACCTGGAGAATCAACGGTGCGTGGAGCACGGAGACAAGTACCGCTTCTACTGCGTTAACGACGGACGCCTCGTCTGCAGGGACTGCACCGTCACTGTGAATCATCGAGGCCACGAGCTGGTCACTCTGAAGGTGGAGCACGACAAACGAAAGGTGAGGAGGAGGTTCGCACGGTCACCAAGTTGTACCCACGATACCGCAGCATCAGTTGATGAACTCTGTCATTGGCTCTCAACAACAACATCTAATTATGACGAAACCACAGCGAGTGGCTCAGACTCATTTTAAAGTGGATTTAATATTTCACATGCCCGTCAATTTATTTTTCAAACGAGTGTGTGAACGGTAGATTCATAGCACCCTTCTGCATCGCGACTTTCCCCATCGCGGTTCGATATATCGCGGGGTCGGCATAAGAAATGAAATGGGCATTTTTTTGGGAGTTTTGCGAAAGCCGCAGACGACACGCAAAGGCCAGTACATGACACACAAAAAGTTTAGTAACTCATAAATGCATAAATTATATGTACAGTACTGTATAATATTAATGTATTTAATATTTCAACTAGCCTGTTTGTCTCTCCAAGGACGGGTGTATATTGCAGTAAATCTGAAATATTCAATAGAAAAATTGTTCAGCTCATGATTATTAATGAGGGGGGTGGGGGGGGGTGCCCCATGTGGAGTGATTTAACCTGCTAATGGTTATTGGGGAGGGGTGCGGCATGTGGAGTGACATCACCCGTTCATGATTATTAATGAGGCGGGTGGAGTCCATGTCGAGGACCCCACCTGTGCATGAATATTAATGAGGGGGGTTGGCCTCATTTGATGTGACGTCACGTGCGGGACAGACCATAAATATACACAATTTTTTCAAGTTACATTTTTTTAAAAGTTAGTTTGCGAAAAGAACTGCGGTTCTATGCGCTCGTTTAGAGGACACCAAGCGTGTTTACGGCAGCCTCTCACGTGATATCTCGCAGTGATCTCGCAGTGATCTTTGTATCTCGCGTTTCTCGTATCTTTTTGTACCGCTTCACTCGCCAAGGAGACCAAGGAAACCAAAACATTTTACGCGTTTTTTTCAGATCACGGGGGGCCTGCGTCCTGTGATGTGGAAGGGTCGACTGTTTACAGGTGTAGTGGGTTAAATTAACACAACGACTTAAGGTGGTAGCCACCTTTTCTTACTTAACCAACACACGGGGATACTGCATTACTGGACCAGGACAGCCCAACACGCTGCCTGGTCCACTAGCGGAGACCGGAGAGCTTCATCCCAGAGATGACCCAGAAGAACAGTCCAGAACAGCCCAGAACAGCACAGCTCTCCATCCACACCCCGCTTATAACCACTCCGGCGTGGCCGGCTCCGCCCCAGGCCCCGCCCCCCTTCCTGATCCTTCGTGAAGGCCCGAACCCTAACCATGTGACTCTGCTGGGGCCCCTGGCCTGCCTTTATCTGGTTCACGCAGAGTGTCACGAACCGACACGACCCCCGTGACACCTGCCTACAGCCCCCATACCGAGCCAATACAGTAGTGTCGGTCTACTACACTACACAGGCATCAGGGTCGGGTTCGAACCCACGACCTCCTGTATAGCAGGCAAGGCAGATAACATCTCACCACTATGGTGCCCTGTCCACCCACTACTCAGATAGCCCCGTCCACTACTCCAGTAGCCCTGCCCACTGCCCAGATAGCTCCACCCACTACTCAGGAGCCCCACCCACTACTCAGGTAGCCCCGCCCACTACTCAGGAGCCCCACCCACTACTCAGGTAGCTCTGCCCATTGCTCAGGTAGCTCCACCCACTACACAAGGAGCTCCACTCACTGCTCAGGTAGCCCCACCTACTACTCAGGTAGCCCTGCCCACTACTCAGGTAGCCTCGCCCACTACTCAGGTAGCTCCACCCACTACTCAGGTAGCCCCACCCACTACGTCGGTAGCTCTGTCCACTACTTAGGAAGCCCTGCGCACGTTTGAGCTCGTGAAATCTGTTCCCTGCAGCACTTGCTCCCCCAGCCTCCATCGCTGCACCGGGGCTTTTGCCCCGGTGGAGGAGTTTACGTGGAGCGGGGTTGAGAGGGGACGCTCAGAGAGTGAGTGGAGTGTCCCCTGGTGACGTCTCTCACAGAAACAAGTGGGAGAGGAGACACGGGCGGTGGAGGAGAAGAGGAGGGAGGCGGAGGAGTCCGTTAGGCAGATGGAGGCAGCTCTCAGGGACGTGCAGGTACCGCGTCTGGGCCGGACTCTGTGACCCCGTGACTCCACCCTGAGTAATGTGTGATGCAGAACAACTCCATTCATTCACGGATTTCCCATGGCTCCAAAGACATTTTGGGACTAAATACACAACGGTCAATGTGCCTCAACAATCAGGATGTGCAAATAAGTGGTGTTCATCTCCACTGAGAAACTAAATCAATGGTGGAAATTCCACATTCCCATATCTCCATACAACTTAACACTTCAACGACTGTCTATTTTGATCAGATGAGGTGGCACGTACCTCTTATCCAATACTCTGGTGGCAGAGTTGGTGATCACACACAGACTGTTATACACCATCTTACTGAAACCAATCAGGATTTATGGTGGCCAGGTGGCAGTATAGCAAGTGGTTTCATGATCCCCTCTCTTCATCCATACACATGTGGGTTTCTTTCACATTCAAAACATTCATTTAAAGAGGAATTGGCCTAACTTCCCATATCATTAATGCTCTACTTGTTGAAGGCAAATTACAGATTTCCCTTCGCTTCATGCGAAGGTAAACAAAGCATCATCCTGATAGCCTTGCGCAATGAGAATGGCACAAACGCTAAATGTACTCATGATGGTATTTGATTATTTCAATGCCTCACAGCCCCCACCAGCTATGGCGAATCGTGTTGTAGTGGAAATGCACAGTGGCGTTATCGGAGGCAGAGGAAGAAGAAGGCCTCAGAGCTGCATACTCGTATCACTGTCTGGACACCTTCAGAGTTGCACTCGGGTCATTTTACAAAGGACCAGAGGTGGCATTTATTTCTCTTTGCAGGGATCCATGACAGATGAAAAGGCCTCAATCTCGGTCAGATTCACCCACGCGAGAGCAGCGTTGGATGTGGAGGAGAAGGCGGCTTTAGAGCAAGCGGAGCAGAAAGGGCGTGAGCTGCTGTCCCAGATCGAGAAGAAGATCGCTCGCTACCAGCGCAACATCAGCGAGCTCCAGGCAGCAGCCACTCGCCTGCAGGTCCTAGCGCAGGAGAGGGACTCGCTCGCGTTCCTGCAGGTGAGCGATGGGTCTCCAGTGTCGCTATTGGCACAGAGCCCTCTCACCAGCAGCAGCAGAGGAAGGCTCCTGAATAAGAGCTCGTATCTCCTGGGCTTGAGAACACAGCTCCACTCATGGATTCGCATCGCAGTTCAAGTGGCTGCCACGTGGAAGGCTAGCTCATATTTTCTCATTTAAATAAATTATCTTTCCCATCCTGTAACAGATTCCCATTAAGTTTGTTTCATTGTGATTTTAAACTAAATGTTAATGGAATTTAACTTCTTAAATCAACCATACAACAACAATGTACACAGTTTCGATTTAAAGCTTTCGTGACTGCAGGGATTCATCTTCCTGTTTCTTTCGGTAAAGTCACGTAGAATGGAAATAATAAAATAATAAAAATAAAACATAATAAAATAATTCTCACGACGTTTCGGCCACAACGCAAGCAGCCGTCCTCAGGTGGAGAACAGGTCTGTCGAGAAGACAGAGTCTGAATGACACGCCCCAGGCTTGGAGCGACTATTTAAGCTGGGATGGAGGGGGCAGAGCGCCTTGACAAAGGAATTTGCATATCAAGAGGAATTTAGCATATTTATGGGAAATGCAGATATGCGATTAGTACTACTTGTGAAATGCGTAGGAGGTTTGGCGGGGAGTTTAAAGTAATTATGCCCGTGCATTATGCAGGATTAGCAGCATCAAAGGGAGGGGCTAGGGGTAACATTAATAAAGGGAAGGAATGTTAATAGTATGTAGCTGCAGTAACTAAACCACCACGTAAATCAATTAAAGTATACTAAATAAACTCTCCAATAAGCTGAGCTACTAACAGTAAGTAATACATTACAATTCTATGTCGCAAAAAATATAATATGCTTCCAGCTAAACTTTATTCTCTTACATCACACGAGTCTACGCCATACTATATACTGCCATAGACAAACCCAACATTAAATTATATACTGTATTACTATACACCACCTTATACCTTGTACATTGTAAAATTACACTATGTATTATTCTACCCACCCTAATGTATATCACACTGCTGTATATTCACTATACAATTACGATGCTATATATTACTTTGTACATTGTATTAAACATTACAATTTTATACTATTTATTATTATACAATCCGCTATACACTGTACCATTGACCGTCGCGTGAAAGATACTAAGAGGAAGCAACGAAATATGTCAAGGGGAGAGTAGTGGTTGGAGACTTGCAGCGGAGCAAAGAATCCATTCCCTGCGGAGAATACAAGATATATAGTCAATGCCAGTGAGTGGAACGCGGTCTGAAAGTAACCGTAAACGTGAACACAATCAGTTAAGATTCGAAATGGTTTTTTACGTCCTTCAAATGATTGCTGAGCCAGAATCCATCTTCTCGGTTGAAATTGTCTCTGTGTTTGTATATAGATTCTGGCTCAGCGAGATGTTAACTACCTAGCCTGGGATACCGAAGGTCCGGGATTAGATCCCAACATTTCTCCCTCCATGGTCGCATTGAATTTTTCTCCGGGTCCTCCAGATTTTCACTACACATTTGAAAACGTGAGTTTAGAGTATCGGGCTGCTATAAATTTCCACTTGATGAACCACTTCCTTGAGCTATCATTTGTGGCCATGTCGCTTCTGAAAAAGTGCTAAATAGCTCCGTGGGCGTTACCTGGAAAAATAAAAAGTTTACGGTTGACTATCAACCGGTCTCACTCTGAAATATTTGTCCCATACGTCAGTGTTGGTGATCATAGGGTCATAAGTCAGGACTTTGGGTTTTATATTCTACGGTGTTGTAGTGGGAACTCCACTGATAACAAGGGATTGGAGGTAGAGTCACAGTAACGCATCTCTCTCTCCCACAGGGGCACCTGGAGGAGATGCGCAGGTAAAAGACGACTATCACTCACGACTCGACACACGACAACATGGGAGTGTAGGGCGCAGACCGTGAGACACTGGCTGTGTGTGGGGATGCTGTTTGTTGTCATGGTTTGTGTGGTTATGGTGTGTGTAGTGATGCTGTGTGTGATGATGGTGTCTATGATGATGTTGTGTGATAATGCTGCGTGTAATGATGGTGTCTGGTGATGCTGTGTGTAATGATGCTGTCTGATGGTGCTCTGATGTTGCTGTATGTGATGATGCTGTGTGTGGTGATGATGTGCATGAAGCTGTGTGGTTATAGTAATTCTGTGTGGTGATGCTGTAATTGTGAGATGAGTGATGATGCTGTGTTAGATGAGTGCATGTCTGATGGAGCGGTGATGATCCCACGCGTGATAATGATGTGATAAGTGTCTATGTGATGGAGCTGTGATGATTCTGTGAGTGACGATGCTCTATGTGAGACAGTAGTCATGTCTGCTCTGCTTTCACAGGGCATGGATGGTTGCTCCACCCTCAACTCCAGGCCAAGAGGACATTGCATCACTTAAAGTCCTGGAGACAACTGCAGTCAAACGCTTGTGTGAGTTCTTCAGTGTGAATCATGGGTGATGGGGCCAACTTGACAATAAATGATCCCCGTGTGTGTGCGCGAGGTCGACTTAGCCTCAAATTATTACCTGGAGTTTTATAAACATCACCACTAGGGATATAAAGGCGGCCAGGCATAGTGCTGGCCACGCACCTCGTGTGTCATGCCAGCCTTCATATATGCTCACGGACAGGACTTGTCCCAATAGTCTGGAAGGCTACACAAGGGATCTCTGTCTTTGTTCACATGCCAATCCAGAACCTACTGAACAGAACCATGATACTCAGTGTGGTATTCTTGTGTAAATAATCAGCATGAGTCAGGGGTAATATTGATGTTGAGATGCAGTGAGTGCCTGTGAATGTGTATGCGTGGGGGAAGCGGTAGCACACTGCACTGCGAACCCAGTTACCTGGGTTTGATTACCACCCCATTGCTAACATCCGTGGCAGGTGATATCTGATCCAGTCCTGGGTCTCTGCTCGGCGGTTTCAATCTCAAATGAGTTCCTCATACTGGTAATGGTCATAATGATGGTGATAGTGGTCATGATGAGGATGGTGAAAATGATGCTGATGTTAGTGATGTGAGTGATGGGAATGGTGATGGCATTGGTGATGGTAATGGGATGGCAGTGACGCTCGTAATGATGGTAATGACGGTGACATTGGTGATAACATAGGTGGTAATGGATGTGATGGTTTTGCTGACGGCTCTAATGGTAGTAGAGATGATATTGATTATTGTGGTCATGGTAGTGATGGTGGTGATGATGGTTTTGATGGTCGTTGTGATGGTTATGATGCTGGTCGTGTTGGTGATGTTGGTGATAGTGATGAAGATGGTGGTGATGGGGATAGTGGTAATGGTAGTGATGGTGGTGATTGTTTGTGATATGGTGATGATGGTTGTGATGTGGCTTATTGCGATAGTGATGTTGTTGATGTTCATAGTGTTGATGATGGTGCGGATGTATATGTTGTTGTCATTGATGATGGTGATGTTTGTTATGCAATTGTTGATGGTGAAAATGATGGTTGGAGATGGTGATGTTGATGGTGGATAATGGTGATGACGGTGTTCTGTAATGATGTTGTCATCGCTGTTGTCACAGACGGATGCTCACCGACTCTGGACACAAACTCAGCTTATAACCAACTCCAGATCTCCTCGGATCTCAGGACGATGACGCTGACCAGTGCCCCCCAGGGTCGCCCCGATCACCCACACCGGTTTGATTACTGGTCACAAGCCCTGTGCTGTGAGAGCTTCTCGTCGGGCCACCACTACTGGGAGGTGGACGTGGGGGATGCGCGACGATGGCGTGTTGGAGTCGCGTACGGGACGACCCAACGGAAAGGGGGTGGTGTTGCTGCACAGCTGCTGGGAGGGAGCAACGCGTCCTGGTGTTTAGATAAACGTGATGACAACTTCTCAGTGGTTCATGGTGGAGTGAAGACTGCACTGTCGGTGAGGGGGGCACCCTCCCCCCGCAAAATCGGGCTTCACCTGCACTGGGAGGGGGGGCTCCTGGCGTTTTACCGCGCCGACTCTATGGAGGTGATCCATGAGGTTCGGCAGAGATTCTCGCAGCCTCTCTACCCTGGGGTGTGTGTGTGGTGTTTTAATGCACCATTGAAGATCGTGGATCTGAGTGATGCATCCTGAGGATGGGTAGAAAGAAACTTAATAAACCGAGACAGAAACCCAATAAACGGAGGAGAGGGGGATGGTGAGGAGAGGGTGAAGTGAGAGTGAGGGAAAGGTGGAACGGAAGGTGGAACGGAAGGTTGAACGGAAGGTTGAACGGAAGGTGAGGTAAGGTGAGGGGAGGGTGAGGTGAAAATTTAGAGAAGGGTGAGGTGAGCATAGAGGGTGAGGGGGGAGGGTAAGGTTCAGGTTGATGTGCGTGAGCGATGTCACCTGTGAAGTACAAATCGCCGGTGTGGATGTTTGAGGGATTTTAATGAAATCTGAGTGGGGAATCAGCGCAGCCCCAGAGTCCGTGTGGCCGCTCCTTCACCTGCAGTGCACGCTCGCGTCACCACGCCTCTTCATCCCTGCGATTCACCATCATCACCATCACCCCATCATCACCACCATCAACACGGCCCCCATCATAATCACCATAGTCATCACCACCACCATCATCGCCATCATCACCAACAGCATTGTCACGATCACCATCATGATTACTATCAACACCACCAAAACCATCATAATCACCATCACCAATATCATCGTCACAATCATCACTATCATCACCACCATCATCACTATCATAACCACAATCACCATCATCACCACTACCATCAACACCACCACTGTCATCACCATCACCACCATTATCATTATTACCACCATCATGATTATCTTCATCATTATCATTTCTCCATTATCATCACTATCATCACCACCAACCCATCATCATCAGCATCACTATCATCAATATCACCAACATAATCAACATCATTATTTCCATCATTACTGCGATCACCATCACTATCAACACCAAAAAAAAACACCATAATCACATCCATCACTATCATCATAATCATCACTATCATCACAACCACCGTCATCATCACCATCACTACCATCACCATAACCATCATCACCACCAACACTGCCGCGATCATCACCATGATCACCATCATCATCATAGTAATCACAACCATTACTATCATTACCATCATCAAAACCACAAAAAACACCATAATCATCACAATAATCACAATCATCATTACCATCATCATGATCATCGATACAACAAAAAACACCAAAATCATCACCATTATCACATCCACCATCACCACCATCACTATCATCACCGTGAAAACCACGATCACCCTCATCACCATTTCACCATTATTACCACCACTACCACCATCACAATCATCACCATCACCATTACTATCATCATCACCCCCCCTCCCTTTTGCAAATCCCTTATCTCCACATGAAACATTAAAGACATAATACACACCACGTAACGTTTTACTCATCCCATCAGTCGCAGGCACGGCCTTCTGGGAGTGCCTAATTGAAGCGGCATTTGGTTCAACGCAAGCAACACTCTGGGCAGGTTTCGACATTCAGTGTCTCATCAGCAGCAGAGCCAGGCGTTGCTTAAACCAAGGCTCACAAAGTTTTGCCGACTGGATTCCTGGCCGCCTGCCTGTATGTACTGTATGTATGTTGAAATTATATTGCAATGTATGTGTAGTAAGTTCGAGGAGACGATGTCGAAGTTGAGGCACACTCTGTTTATTAACCCAGGGACATGCACAATAGTTGAAGGGGTATCGGCCCCTTCACCCGTACTATGGGAAACCCACCCTAGTACTAAGCCCTCTGTCCTGTCCCCCAGTCCTCCTCTACTGGGCTACGGGAGGCTGACTGATCTGGCCCTGGCAAGCACAGATATCGGCACCAGCTAACCAGCCTTGCCCTGATAAGGGCAGCGGTCTGGAAGCTCTTGGGCCGCGCCACTGGCTTACCCGGCTCGGCCCTTATAAGGACGGCGAGACCGGGGAGTCCCAGGGCCTAATCTCCGAGTCTTGGATCTTCACTGGTCAGCTTCGTGTCGAACTGCCTCGAGCTCTTTGGGTCTCCACCTTTTATAGGGATCGCCTCCGAGGGCTGGGGGCGTGGGCAATAACGGATGCGGACGTCGGTGTGACCACCCGTGTATGTGAGTGCCGACAGCCCTGTGTTTGTTGTCCGCCGTTTCTCCCGTAATAATCCCTACATCACCCCCCCCCCTGTACAGCTCGCAGCCGTCCCGGCTGCAACAATCCCTCAACCCCCAAGAATAAAGATTAACACAGTCAACACACGTGTGCCTCGTAACAGTAACAATAACAAGAACAAGCGTAACAACAACCGATGGTTCCCTATAAAAACCCCCTCCCCAAAAATGCAACATATATACAGAACGCTGTTCGCCATCCCCACGCACAAGAAGCATCCATACACACACACACAAACAACAAAAAAAACATGTATACAATGAGCGGGTTCCGCAGCAACGGAACACGCGCGGAAAGCTATTCATAACAACCGGCGCGTTTTGGTGCGAGTCCGTGCAGCGGGCCCGTCACAAGGGGCCGGCTTGGTAGAGTCGGTGGCAGGTGTCGCATCTGCAGGTGCCTGGTCGTCCGGCTTCCCGGACGTGCCAGCGCCGACCCCCACAGGGGAGGCTGGCAGCCAAGAGGGCTTCAGTCCTGGGGCTCCTGAAGACGGGACAGTCATTAGCGGATCAGAGGCTGGCGGTGACCCCGCCCTCCCGGAGTCAGTGGACTCCCCACATGTTCGGCCATTTTCGTGAGAGGAAGCGTGCGGAGCAAAAAATGGCTTTAACCGTGAAGGGTGCACAAACCACCGACGCTTCCCCCACTTAATGCGCACACATTGAGGCCGCACAACCTGCACAATTTCTACGGGGCCCCTCCATGGTCGCAACAACTTAGCCGAGGTGGCCAATGGCACCTGGGGGCAGTGCAACCATGCTCGGTCGCCCGGGTGCCATTCGTGCGTGTGTGTCCGGCGCGATCGCAATCTCTCGTTTTGTTTCTGGCGAGAGTCAGAGTTTTGCATGGCCGCCTGCCGTGCCTCCGCCAAGCGAAGGATGTTAAATTTAACATGGTCCGCGATTTTGGACTTAGCATGAGGCGCGGCAATCGTCAGCTGAGTCGCGACAGGCGGGTCAACCTCGCGGCCATACATCAAAAAAAATGGCGAGAAACCGGTCGCCGCGTGAGGAGCCATCCTGTATGCTGCCAGGACTCCCCCGATCCGTAGATCCCAATCGTTTTGGGAC